GAACAAGAGACATTAAAATGCAAGTGTTGAGGTCGTACTTTCTCTGAAATACTTCTTAGCGTAATTTTTGTCAAGCAGATAAATAATATTTGGGTGGTATTTAAGCGTAGAAGAATGTTCATTATCTTTTGACAAATCAGCCCATGTGCTTCATTTTGTGTGGATTAAACAAATGACAAAAAAATCTTTGGTAAAACAAAATCCAGTCCCTGTCACACGTCTGTACTGTCATCTCGTATGAAACTCCTTGCTAAGCAAGGTGCGTTTTTGTAATCTCTGCTAGTTGCACAACTTTTACAAAACAAGGGATCAGCTCCAACTGCTAACGCTCCCATGCTAAATGATACATTGCGTAGCAGCGCTGAAAAAACTTCGCAGACCTCTTTAATTAGCTCCATCGTTTAAGAATAGCAAGAAAATCATTAAACTACATCTATACAAGAGAAGTCTGCTCACTTCACCTTACCCTGCAGAACGCTAGCACCGAAAACAAGGAGTGCTCTTCTCATATGGCCGTCTCACCAGATGGATCAGTTTTCCGCTAACAAAAATAGTTTCTTGATGCCATGGTATTTGGATTCTCAAGAAAGGCCAGAAATTTGTGGATTTTCTGCTGGAAGTTCCAACAGCTCTTCCTTGCTCATAAAACTCCCAAAAAAATGTTGGCACGCACAACTAATGCAAACAATACACGCCTTGCTCAATACCCTTGAATCGCCCTGCAATGTCTGGCATTTACCAAGTGTGCAAAATCTACTGAGGCTAGAACCTTGAGACCTGAGACGATTCTGATCTAAAGTTAGGCACAGAAAACCACTTTTAGAGACGTCCAAAAACTTATTTTCACAAAAATTTCTTGGCGCACTTATATAAATTTACTTTGAAATCAAACGAAATGACATTATGAACTGGCCAATCCTCAAGCATCTGAGTACCATCGTAACGGAAACATAAAAAAACGGTAATAAAAATTGAAATAATTTAAACTCTAATCTGCCCCCAAGTGAAAGCACTTGAAGGTCAGAGAGAAAGTTGGGCAAATAAGGGACGATCAGGAGCTGCGCTCGGGTTGGTCATGCTCAATCCCGCCTACTTCTCGTCCCTAAAGCCGCTCTTCAAATCCTCGTTTCCTTCCAAGTTCCGCAATTCTCAAGTTACTCCCCATCAGCAGCCTCGATCTCCCCATTCCGAAACTTGGGTTCGTTGTATTTATACACCTAGTCTAGTTCATGAAGTTTGCAACTGGTGCTGTAAGCGCCAAGAACTAATCAAGCTTACAGCAAGAATCGCACAAATGAGAGATCTCTCGAAAAAAAAACCAAGGAGGATGCCATCCTGACCACTCTGCAACTTAAGAGCGTTACTGGCTAGTCTCATTAATCACAAAAATTCTCTGAACTTTATAAAAATAGAAAGTACTGCGCAAAAACCTGAAGCGGAAACTGCAAATACAGAAATATGCATGAATCTTTTTTCAAAAGACCTGGCGTCTGTTATATACTACAAACAGCCACAACCTCCTCTCGACTTTGTTTGGGTTACTTGTACACAAACCTTCCTTCACCAAACCCTTTCATTTAAAATCCACCTTAATCATCGTCTGTTTAGATACTACTTCATGTGAAAAGGCCAATTCTAAACTCATCCCAAGTTTTGATAAACATACGGATAGAACTAGGCTGGATAGTAAGAACTGATGTGAATCAAACTGACGGCATCCTATTTAAATTTGTTCTGTCCGTCATAAACGCGGATTGTAATTTCATCCCCGACGTCGATCACTCTGTCAAATCGTAAAGGTACTACTAATGGTGAGGACCTCCATGAAAATCCTTTCATTTTCGACTTTATCAAAATAAAAAACCTCGCCTCTCCCTCCATGTCATTTGGAAACTATTCGATTGCAACACTATCCTAATTTGCTGGCAGTTAAAGTGGTCTTTAAGTAAAATTCAACTTCCCAAGAACTTAAAAATAAAGTGAGGTAGGCAGACATAGATATATTAGAAAAAACGCTTAAAAGGAATGACGGACAATCAAGTGAAAAGAGAGGAAAACGATGCAATGATAGGAAGCTCTGAAAGTGAAATCTTCTATATACACTTTAACATCGTCTCAAAAAACGCGCAAAACAGGCGCCAAAATGAACTCAGAGCCATTAGAAAAAGCATCTTTTTAACAAACAAAACAAGGCAATGGCCGGAGAAACCTGCCTCGAAAATCCAAAATATTCTTTAGAAAAAAAGGAAGCGATTAAACTTACCAGAAGTGTGGTAGTGAAATTATTTTTAAATATCGAAACTTATGCAGCCGAGATATAGGTAACAAAAAAACTACACTGTCCAAAAGTATAAACGTCGCCTGCATTCGTTGTTCCGAAGAACTATAACGAATGAGTGTAGAATTCCACATAACAAAAAACTGGGGCATGCATCGCACGAATATCGTCCTACTGTAAAATACAAGCACGAAGTTCTTAATAATCAACTACAAAGCAATATTATTTACATATATAATCTTGACGTCAATAATTCAAAATGTAAAACATGCTTTTTCTATCTCAATCACTAGTTTTTCAGAACGATGCAGATAAATACTAAAAGGCGACAACCATTTGCCTTCACTAATTCCTTTTAAGCGCTGAACCTTTACAGTCACGAGTGAAGTCACAGAACTTGTCACTTTATATTTTATTAAAAACCTTTGGCTTATCCCCCCATAAATAATATCTTCGGCAGTTTAAACAATACTTATAGCTACCATTAATATACAACATTTACAGCTACCACTAACATATAATTCTAAATGAACGCGCGAGTTCAACAAAGACTTCTAATGTGGAAGCTTTACAAGTAACACCTAAAACTTCCACAAGTCTAGAAAGAACTTAACACAGTGTTACGGATAAACTCAAAAGAATACTGATGACAAAGAGCAGAAGAGCTTGGAAATGCTAAAAAAAATATGAAGGTTTTAATTAATATACCCTTCTAAATAAAAACAAAGAATAAAAGCGACCAGAAAACGAGTAATACAAAAAACAGTGAAAATGCAACCGGATTTTCTCTCTTTCTGCCCTGTTCTCCTAAACTCCTCTACTAAATGAAAAGTATCAAAAAAACTTAGGAATTAAATCAGCTTCGCATTTGATAAGCTAGGACTGTCTCAGGTCACTTCTTCTTCTTTTTCTTCTCACCGTTGGGATCAACAAAGCCACTTCTTAGTCTATACTCGTTTATAATTTTTTCTTGTGTTTCTGCAGAAGTTCGTGCGTACCTTCAATTATAGTGACATTTAGAAAATAATGACCACCATTGACTGCACAAAAAAACGTATACTAAAGCTAGAATCTGCTGACAAAGGAGGGAAAAAGTATGAAAAGAACTCAAGGTCAAAGTTGCGGTACCTCAAGTACTCCATTGTAAACTCGCCTTTACCCTCTGTAACCGTCCGCAACAAGGACATGTAACCAAACATGTTGTTGAGAGGAACCTAAACACCGGAAAAGGTGATTTCTATCAATTACGAACAAAATTCTTTTATAATCAGAAACCAACTTCGCCAGTAACAGTAACATAGCCATCGTTCGAATCTGAGCCAGTCATAATACCACTCCTCTGTGTAAGTGAATTTACAACATCACCCTGCAAATCCTTGATTACGTATATATTCATTATAGGATCAGCAATTTGAAAAATTTTAAATCAACCAAAATAACGTTGTCAAAGAATGAAAGCAGTGTATGATCAAATAAACCTGGAAGTTGGCTGGTGCGGTGACCTCCACTTTCATAATTGGCTCCAACAAAACCCAGTGAGCTTTTTGATATGCTTAAAAAGCTTTACAATTAAAAAAAAACAACTTTAAGCTTGCTGTTGGCCCGAAAGGAGCAACTACAGCAGAAAAGACAAAAGTTAACTGTACAGCAAAAACAGACCTTCACAACTTATTTAAGCCCTAAGCTACAGATGAAAAGCTTGGCTTTTAAAATATTTGTGTAACTTTGATTTGATTCGTACTTGCAAATGAAATGCTTGTTTTTATATCGACCTACAAAAAACTTCAGGAAAGATCATTGCGGAGAGCGAAAAACTACACTCCTTTTAACTAAATTGCTAATTCTTCTAAAACACCTGGAATCTTTGTTCAATTTTCCTACACGTCACGCAGCACGGTCCTTAAAAAATCAACGGTTCCCCTCTTGGCTTCTTAAATCCACACATTTACAGAATTAAACACATCTGGCAACAAGAGCTTAATTTGCAAGTTTATTCTATGAGGCCACGTGTAATCCCCTCAGCAGAAGCATAGCTTAAGAACGCGAAACAACAACCGTTTCCGTCCCTTTACCTCGTGCCATTACTTGCAGTAGGGAGCGCTAACGAGAAGATAGCCAAAATGCAGATAATCAGCCAAATGCTTTCCTCTATACTGTTTTCTTCGAGGTACGAACATTATACTATGTAATGTTTCAAACCACAACAGTATGGTGATCATCAAACACCTCTTCTTAAAACTGAAAAATTCCAAAAAAATCCACCCTATCTACTTCAACCGATTCCGGCAAAATACACTACTACTTAAAAAAAGAAATACTCATCTACTAAAATACCGCTTTTCATCATACACTTTTAAGCCCGCTAAGCAAAAAATAGCATCAGAAAATTTCATCTAGAATGGCAGAGATGTAAATGGAGATATCTAAAAAATAACTGGAGTATAGCTAAGCATCTTGATATATTTCTGAAATGCCAGGTAACTAGTAACGGTAGTTACGGTACTCTGTAATCTTCCTAACCGGAATCTTCTGCTGCTTCCGGCACAAGAAAAAATGGAAAAGGCAAAAACTCATCCACAACCGCTTGAAATATATATCTTCCAACACAATGAGCCAAAAATGAAAAACATCGTTATTAAAAAAAGCAACTTAGCTTATATTCCTATTCCATTCCACATAATTCTAAGGTGCTAATATAAGTAACACTCTGAACGTGTACAAGAAATTTCTGTAGAAACTTAACAAAATGGAAACCAAAAATTCTTACGCAAAAATTGGTATGCTTTTTAAACCAACTGCCGGTGGACACCACTAGTAAAAACCCATTACACAATTATAATGAAATATCATTTAATATTCGGTGTTCGTTAATTCCAATTAAATTCTCTATAATTAATTGGTCAGAAGAAACTTATAAAATTTCCGCAAGAAGCACCAAAAATACTTACGAACTTAATAGATAAAAGTAAGAAATAAGCAGCAATAACATAAAAACCTCCTTTCTAAACCAGATATATCTAACCAAGCACTAGTAATGTCTTATTCTGTTGCTGTCGCTACAGTGTATCGAATTTTTCTAATTCGTTATTACCAACATGTTAATAGAAAACAAGTTATTTAACCAATAAAGTTTAAAGAAGAACTTGCCTTCTCTCATCATGTTCATCATAGTATTAATCATAGCGATCTCGGTTGAATCTACCATATGAGTTTTTCCATCTTGAATACGTACTTTAATTCCAGAAACCTTTGCTTTTATTAGTGGCCCTTCCACGACAATCATATCCAAACCCTTCAAGCTGTTAACTGCTCAGCGATTATTTGTAATATATTTCTGAATAAGCTTTTGCAATCGAGTATACCACAGAAAATTATAAACTCCTAACTTTTTTTAAATGCGGAAACAGTGATTTCGGAATGGCAGTACCATAAGTTTCATCCGCAAAAACAATTTCAGTGTTATGTTCTGAAGGTAGTGGCTCCATAATACCTTCAATCTCTCCAAATTGTCCTTGCCCACCAGTTTGTTTTTTATGACGGTAATAGAACCTAGACAAATGACAACGAGATCAGAGTAATGTTTGTTAAATCAACTTGAAAGGCGAAAATAATTTCGAAATTATCAATATACTTGTA